AAACTGACAGAGGAGTGGTTTATTTCCTTATTTGTATATAAATTCCCACATCAACAGTGAGAAACTTAGTTACAATATCTGCCATTCATTTACTTGTTCTATTTCAAGATACACATAGAGCAGTATCAGAATCAGTAATGCATACTTCCATGAGATACAACTCTATCAACTAGAGTACAATGCCTATGGACAATTCCTTTCCCTTTAACAGACTCCAGTTATTTCCAGGTTACTTAGGTCAGCAACTTTTTCCCCCCGAAATTTTATTTAATTGGTTGTTGTTATTGATAATATATAGAGCAGAACATACACCAATTCAACGGTTTCTACATTGATTAATTTAGTGACATTGATTAAATTCTTTGAGTTGTGCAACCATTCTCACCCTCCTTTTTTGATTTGTTCCACTCTCGTTGCCACATAGATAGTTCTTTAAAAAGCATAATGTTCAAGGCAGACCTTTGTTACTGTTAAGCTAAACTTAGTTTTTAGATGACTTCAGGGGAAATTTTTTCCTCTACCCTCCATTGTTCCAGAAAGTCTAGAGTCCATGAGAATTTGAAATTCTATCTGCATTTCCCCCCTTTTGATCAGGATTCTTCTATGGAATCTTGATCAAAATGTTCAGGAATTGCAGCCGGGCACTAACCAGACCTGGTCTCATGGCTAAGGAGGCCGTTGTTCATGGAGGCAATTTGCCACACATTCCATATCTTCCTCCTACTCCTGAGTCTCCTTTTTCATCTGTTGCTCCAGGTGAATAGAGAGGTCAGGAACTTTTTCAATAACATAGTATAAACAAATGTTTTCAATAATGTAGTATAATTGGAATTATACAGAGTGTAGCGTTTTCCTATTGGCTTCTATCACTTAGCCATGTTGTTGTTGTTATTGTTATGTGCCGTCGAGTTGGCCCTGACTCATAGCGACCCTCCTTGGGTTTCCGAGGCAGTATCAGTACGGAAGTAGATTGGCCCATCTTCCTTCCGAGGTATGGCTGGTGGGTTTGAACCACCAGACTTCTAGTCAGCAGTCAAGTGCTTTTAGGCACTATGCACTTAACCATATGCATTTAAAATTCATCTATGCTTTTTTTGTGTCATGATAGTACAGTTATTTTTAGTGCTGAGTAATATTCCACTTTATAAACCAAAAACTCACTGCCATCGAGTCGATTCCAACTACCAACAACCCCCTTTGGGTTTCTGAGGCCATAAATCTTTACAGAAGTAGATTGCTCAGTCTTCCTTCCGTGGAGTGGCTGGTGGGTTTGAACTGCCAACCTTCTGGCCAGCAATCAAATGCATCAGGCACTATGCTACCAGAGCTCCTATCCATTTTATAGATGTACTATAGTTTACCTAGCCGCCTATTGAAGGACATTTTGGTTGCTTCCAGTTTAATACAGCTGCTACAAACATTTACATGCAGGCTTTTAGGTAGGCATGTTTTCAAATCTGTTGGGTGAATAGAATATCTAGAAATATGATTATTGGATCATATAATGAGACTATATTTAGCTTTGTAAAAAAATGCTGAATTGTCTTCCAAAGAGGCTGTATCATTTTTCATTCCCACCAACAATGAATGAGAGTTCCTGTGACTCTATATCGTTAGTAAAATTTGGTGGTGTCAGGTTTTTTAGATTTTGGCCATTTTAATAGGTATGTAGTAGTATGTCAGTGATGTTTTCCTTATGGGCATATTTAAGTAACATGAGTTTAAAATATCTATGCTTGGAAATTCCCAGAGCACTTGTGGATCTTTTTTCTTGTTTGATGTCTGTGTCTATTCTTGCTCATGTTGCATTGCTTTTGCATATTTACATTATGTTTGATTGTATGCTGGACATTGTATTTGAAAAAGCATTTGTAGAGTGTGTATAATGACATTTTCTTCCTCCAGAAAGGATTTTCATTTATTTTTGCCTGGGGCCAAGTCTACTAATCCAGAGCTAAATCCATCGCTGTAGATTCCTAGTCATGACAACCTCATGTATTACAGAGAACTGCTCCAAAGGGTTTTCTCTGTGTAATTTTGGCTGGTAATCCCTGTGTAGTCTAATTGGTTAAGAGCTTGACTACTTGTCAAAAGGTTGGTGGTTAGAACCCACCCAGAGGTGCCTTGGAAAACAGGTTTGGTGACGTGTTTCCAGAGGTCATGGCTTTGAAAATCCTGTACAGTGCTGTGCTGCATACATGTTGTCAACGTGTTGGAAGTGACCCGACAGCAACTAAAAACAATAATCTTAATGGAAGATCTCCCTCCAGTCCTTTCTTCCAAAGGCTACTCTGCGTGGGTTCAAACTGTCAACCTTTGTTGTTACATGCCATCAAGTCATCTCTGACTCATAGCGACCTTACGTACCACAGAACGAAACACTGCCCAGTCCTGGGCCAGCCTCACAATCCCTAGTATACCCGAGCCCATTGCTGCAGCCACCGTGTCAATCCATTTTGTTGAGGGCCTTCCCTTCTTTTGTTGACCCTCCACTTTACTGCGGCCTGCCTCCACGCAAACTCCCGCCTTCCGCAGCTCAGGGCTGGCTTACCGTGGCCTGCCTCCAGGCACACCTTAGGTTAGCAGTAAATTGTAAATGGCTTGTGCCACCCAGGGACAATCTAGAATTAATGTTATTTCAGGATTTCAGGTTTTTCTACCCCACCCCCCAGATAACTTGGAGGGTTGCCTTACTTACAGTCCACACTTAAGCCTAGGATACATTCCCTGAGGGTACAACTCAGTGTAGGGTGATTTGCCAGGCCTGCCTCCCCTTATCCTCCAGCCCTTTGAGGCTGTTAATAAAACATGTAATTCATATCACTGAATTCTACATTTTAAAACGGTTTAAATGGTAAACTTTTTGTTGTATCTATTTTACCACCATACAATTTTAAAGAAAGTTATGGTAAGTATGGCTGTATAATTTATATTTTCAGGAAGAAATTGTGAAAAAAGAAAAAGTTTGACTGTCTAGTACATTCCCATTCAAAGGAAGCTTCTGGCTGCTTAGGCAGTGATGGAGTGAATTGTGTCCTCCCAAAGTATGTGCCAACATGGCTGGGCCGTGATTCTCAATGGTTTGGCAATTAAGCAATGATGCAGTGTGGAAGTTTTGTCATGGTCCTCCATGATGTGATCCAATGTGACAAACTCATCAGTTGTAAAAGGATTAGGGTGACAACACCCTCAATCCCATCACAGCCCTAATCTAATCAATGTAAGGGGAGTTTTTCTAGGGTGGGGCCTGCAACAGCTTTTATCTTACAAGAGATAAAAGGAGAGAGAAGTGAGCAGAAAGAGGGGCCCTTTCTACCACCAAGAAAGAAGAGCCAGAAGTGGAGCGTGTCTTTTGGACCAGGGTCCCTGCACTTGGATCCTCCTAGGACCCAGAGCTGCTACTCTGAACTCAGACTTCTAGCCTCCCAAACTCTGAGAGAATAAATCTGTTTGTGAAAGCCATCCACCTGGGGTATTTCTGTTACAGAGCACTACATAACTAAGACAGCCATGCGGCAACAGTTCTAAGAAATTGTAACACTTCTTAGGGCAGGACCACTACACCTAACCATAGAATAATACTCCACAATCTCTTAGACAAAGACATTTTATTACGGAAAAGATCACACAAAACAAAGTTTTTGTATATAAAGTTATCTGTTTAAAAATGTGGAAAAGTTAATATTTACAACATTTTCCATACAGTACGTGATGATTTTTATGGTTTAACAGAATGCCAAATAGAGAGAAAAACCCAAAACATGGGAAAATACTATTCAAGGAACAGTATTTATTGGGAAACAAAATTAAGAAAATTCTTAATTGCTGTATAAAATACATTTTATTTGATCAGGAATACATTTTTTGCCCTATTTGATTGGCACATTAATATTACTATCACACTTCTGAATGGTCATCAAAATCCTACTGAGCTGCAGAAATGAATTCTATATAATGTCCGGGAAAGATACTGTACAAATACAAAGTATTTGTACTATTCTTAACATTAAAAATAAAAGTAAAAGCAAACTGCAAATGGCCATAATACAATCTTGAGTGGTCGTGAACTGCTGAAAAGGAAGGAATCAAGTGCACTAAGCTTAATTATAAAACACTAACATTTCATCTAATAATCTTCAGGACATTATGTTAAAACTGCAGAAGATCAGTGAGCAGCATAATACAATCAACACTGGACACTTGAAGTAAGCACCTTATTTCAGTTGCATAATAGATCTTTAAGATTTCTAAAAGAATGAGATCTTACAAAATTCACACACTGAATGAAGATTTCAAGGTAGAGTAAGTGGCTTTTTTTAAGGTGAATTCCCATCATAACTCCTTCCAGTATATAATCATTTTTCACAATATAAAATAATACTATTTTTCAATTTTCCTAGAAATTCAGTGTACAAGCTACCAAAGAAAGATAACAGAATGATAACAAAATATTTTCTAGGATTTCTAAAAAAAGTTCAAATACATATCAACTTTTTTGAAATATATAAAAAATACAAGGATAAGCTGTAAATATTCCAGCAAAGAAAAATCTTGACTTATATAATTAAAGTGAAATAGCACACTTTGAAAAAAAATTTTTTTATTGTGCTTTAGGTGAAAGTTCACAGCGCAATTTCATTTTCCCAACCAGTAGCTCATATACAAATTGCTTCATGACACTGGGTGCGATCCCTGCAATGTGTCAGCACTATCTCCGCCCTGGATTCTCCGTTTCCATCGTCCAGTGTCCCTGTCCCTCCCTGTGTTTTCATCTTTGGTTTGGGGCACTGCAGCCCTTTGGGTCTCCCAGGCAGCCTCTCTGTTTGGAGACGCACATTCCTCACAGGTGGTGGTGGCTGCGTTACAGTCCTACTACTTGGCTGGATGGTGGCTTCCAAGAGCATCTTCAGTTTCAAGTTAGAAGGGTATCTCAGGGCAATAGTCTTGGGTGTTCCTCTAGTCTCTTTCAGACCAGTAAGTCTGGTCTTTAAAATATTTTTAAGAGAAGAATCTTCATAAATAGAAAAAGAAGATTCCTTCTAACTCTTACCTCCCAAGTGATTTAAAAAATATTATTAGCTGCATGTTTCTATTTGCAGGCATAGTGTTGTCATTAACCTTTTTATGAAATGAATCATATTCTCCTCAAAATCTTTTTTTTTTTTTCCCAGTGTAACAGTAGGAATGTAGCTTTAAGTGCAAAATAAGGCTGTAACAGTGATCCTTATAAGACAGTGCCTTGGTAACTTCCAGTGTAACATGAATCCCCTTCTAATTTATGGGATAAACTGTGTTTCAAGCATCTGAGTGACCGTCCGCACCCTGCTTTTCTCTAAGTCCTGAAACCGAGTGGACAAGCAGTGACGTGGAACCTTTGAGGCTGCTTGGCTGTGAAGAACCGGGGATCTGTAAGTTGTTGCTCTGCACCGGGACGGTTTCAGTAAAATCACTTTTTGGGCTTACCCTAGATAAAAGAGAGAAAGGTGACATACATACACAAGCACAAATATGGTGTCAGATGTCCTTAGGACTGCTATCCACCTTTATCAAAGAATCATTAATGAAAACTCTTTATGTATACTCAAAAACTTCAAAATACAAATAATTTATTATCAAATACAATTTTCGCTGACTTCAGAGACTTTACCAAATACCACCATGCATGAGCTGAGCATGGCATCTCATGAAGAATACAACTAAATAGTAAGACAGGATTCCTGCCCTCGGTTTAGCAAATATTTTACTGATTTTCCACCCATTCAAAGATGAGTCAGATGGCAGCTGTGTTTTTAAGGAATGTACAAATCAAGTAGAGAAAAAAGCTTGTATCTAATTGTAGTCTAGGTTTGTGGAAGGTGTCATGGGGATTCAGAGACAATGCATTTAGCCTAGTTTGGGAGGGCTAGGTGAGATAAGCCCTAAGCCTGAGATTTTAAAGCAGTTAGCAGCTGTCCGCCTCCTGGTTAACTACACGTTTGCTTGTGGTGAGATAGTCTTATGACCATTTGGGCAAATTCATTAAAGATGATGTCAATATCCTTTATGGTTTAGAAAATAAATAAAATTTTATAATCATCCTTGTATAAAATGACAAATATCTTTTAAATGAAAACAATGGCTTGTATTTCAGATGAATCTTAAACATTTACCTAAATGTGCAAACAACTTTTAACAATTAACATAGAAATGAACTTTACCTCTCTACTTCAACAATATACATTGAGGCTCTACTCAAAGCTACGAATTAAACTACTACATAGCATATTTATAGATACGACCCTGGAAAATATAACCCTAGAAAATTTGGTAAGTATATAGACATGACAACAACAACAACAGTAATAGACATGATATTTTCTGCTCATAAAATGCTTTCTTCCCAGATGTGTTATGTTTTCATTAAAAACGTACAACACAACATCCCAAATCATGATGATTCTAAACAAGAAAAGGAAATCTTACCTTCCTTCACTCCGCACACTTTCAGATACACTGCTCTTTTCATTCACACTCGCTGTCTTGCCTCTTTGGTCGGCCTGCTCCCCAGAGAGCTTCGAGCTGGATGCTGCTGGGGAGGAAGGTTCCCCACAGTCCTGTTCTCTCAATCTGGGGGTGCTTGCCCCATGTGCTCCCATGTCTCTCACTGATGTTTCTGGGGAGGTTTGGAGTTCTGTCAAAGTTTCCTGTCCTAAGTAATCGTGGTTCGTGATTGCTACTGCAGAAGTGCCGTGATTTGCTGTAGCTCCTGTGCTGGTTCCCATGGATTTGGAAATGACTTTCAGCTTGTGTGAACTTGGTTTGTAGTGCTTCTTTTTGTGCTTAACCTTAGAATTGTGCTTTAGGAAAAATTCACACGACTCCTGTAGTACTCTTCGACTTTCACTGATTGGACTGTAAGAAAATCCAAGGAAAAGATTTTCTTGATAAATATTAATTGTTGTAGAAGACATGAAAAAAAAAATAAAGACAAAACCCACCCAGCTGCCATCGAGCGGATTCCACTCCTGATTACCCCATGTATGCAAAGCAGAACTGCGCTCTGTCGGGTTTTCAAAGCTGGGACCTTTGGGAGGGAATCACCAAGTCTTTCTTCTGGGCACCTCTGGGGGAATCGGAATGCCAACCTTTCAGTTAGAGTCAAGCACTCAACCGTTTGTGCCACCAGAGACTCCACAAAGCCTATCATGTACCTTTGGCCAGAAATCATTATGCATTAAGTTCTATATGATCCACTTGGGGCGCTCTGGTGGCGTAGTGCCTAAGGCATTTCACTGCTAACCAGAAGGCTGGCAGTTCAAACCTACCATCCACTCCTTGGAAGGAAGACTGGGCAATGTACTTCGGTAGCGATACTGCCTCGGAAACCCAAGGAGGGGTTGCTACGAGTCGGAACTGACTCAAAAGGCAGTAAGTTTGATTTAGTTTTTATGATCCATATTATTTATAAAATCTGAGATTATAAATATTATGAGATGAGTAAATTGCCTTAAAGTCAAGTCTTCTGTACATGTACTATTTGTTGCTTTTGTCAGCAAAAGTTTTAACTAATGAGAAACTATTGTTGTTGTTATGTGTCGTCGAGTCGGACCAGACTCATAGAGACCCCTTCTTGGGCTTCTGAGGCAGTATCACTATGGAAGTAGGATTGCCCAACCTTCCTTCGGAGGAGTGGCTGGTGGGTTTGAACCGCCAGCCTTCTGGTTAGCAGTCAAATGCCTTAGGCACTATGCTACCAGAAACTAAGTAGGCAAAATCAAATGACAAGGGCAAGGAAATTCAAGGTGGCATAAGGAGGGCAACTATCTGCCTGTATACCTATTTTTAAAAGCTTAAGTCAATGAATGGCATTCAGACTTCTCGGAAAGAAGAGAAAGGATGTAGAATATAATAATCTTTGTTTACATTTAATTATTTTCTAATGTTAAAGTAAGAAAGTTACATGGAAGTTAGTGTGGACAAATAAATAGGAGCTAGACATATAATAGTACTATGTACAAAAATATTAAAGTCCACTTTTTCTGACCTCAAATATTATTTGTGGAAAAGATCTACAGTTCTGAAATTTATATCACAAAAAAAAATTCATTAATCAGACCAGTGTGAAACTTTGTTGACAGTACATTGCACATGATCTACATAAATAACTAAAAGGAACTATCTACTGTATTTTCACGTAAGTAACACCTGCCTTCTATGATTGTTTGCCAACTGTTCCCCTTACCCCCAGGTATTTTTGTAAACATGCTTTGCTAATTTCTTCTTCTTCTTTTTGTTTTACAGCAATATGTAAAAAAAAAAAAAAATTTGGCATAGTGGCACTTATGAAAATGTCAATCTAGTCTATTGTTCCAGAATGTTCTGTGAATTTGAATTTTTACCACTTTAGGAAGGCAAATAAGTGAAGGTTAGGTCAGAATAACCTGCAACAGAATCTAAAGGTGCTAGTCAATAAATCACAGCACATCACTCACATTGAATTGTACTTTAGAGATATGCTTGTTTATTTGATCTCATTTAATCCTCATATGATTGGGAAAAAATGAGAAAACTATTAAAAATGCCACACTCAAAATAGTAAATTAAACTATATTAATAATGAATAGAATAATATATGTCAAATTCTGTTACAACAAATGCCAAAATAGAGCACAGCTGTCCATGAAAAATATTTCCAAACATTAGGTGGCTTATCAAAGTCAAGTAATAGTTGATACAGTGAAACTCCAAGACGATGAGAAGTTGAATAGTCTCTTGGTATTTGGTCTGTTTATTTTAAAACAATGTCAGAAAATTAAATAGGCTCTTACTCTCTCTTGCGATTTCGTTTAAAAAACCCAGCCCATTCTGTGCATGTCTTTTTGCTTCCAACCCAGAAGACGGCAGAGATGCCCACAATTAATGTCATCAGATACTTTATCATAAATAAAGCCAATTCTGGTCGAGCTTTTGTTTTTGCCTACAAAAAGGAAAGTGAATAGTAAAATTTTCAGTGGTACATTTAGAGAGAAAAGCCTATACAGCCATACAGTCAATGTAAAAATGTTGAACAAACAGTATAAATCTTTAGAATCTGTTTCATTATAAGAGATCTGAAATAACATCATATAATGAAAAGTGTTTTACATGCAAAACACTCTTTACTAAAGTTCAGAACAATGCACAAAGAACTTTTATCCATGCAACAACATACAGAGCTACAAAAGGAAAATACTGAAATACTGATCTAGCATTTTTATCCATAGGTAAATCAATATCTTAAAAATTGCTAAACTATCTGCCTCTAAATACTTACTGATTTTCTTTTATGATAATCTACTATATACAAAAAGAAACTCATTATAACAACACATATTTTAGAGTCTATGTTAAAAAGCTTGGTTGGTTAGAATAAAATAAAAATCAGTTTCCAAAAAATGTTAGAATGAGGAAATCTCATAAAATTAAATCATACTTTTTCTCCAAGCGCAAACTTTCATGTAGTGTTTTTAAAATGTTGCACAACTGTCAAAGCACTGGACATGATGAGTCTATCTTCCTTTCGGCGCTTAATATTTCTTGGAGACCATTCTACATGGAACCAAAAAGAACTCTTCATTCTTTTTAAAGGCTGCCTAATGTTTTTTTGTATGGATGAACCATAGGTTACTTAACTACCCCTCTCAATGGGTATTTAAGTTACCTCCAATCTGCTGCGATTGCAGATTGTGTTGCAGACATTATCTTTGTACACATGTAATATCTCTTACAATGAGGAGATCTGCTGATAAATTCCCACAGCGGCAGGATAAAGGTATGACCATTTAAAAGGTGATAGATATTGTCAAATTGCTCTCCACAGCAGGCTGTACTAATCAAAACTCTTCAATAGAAAAGTCTGAAAAGGCCTACTTTGCTGCACTTTCATTTAGTTTTGTGTTTCATTAGAATTTAATCTTATTATAATTTTAATTGGTATTTCTTATAATAATTTGTTCACATGTTTAAGAAAAGCTCTTCATTTGCCTTTTTCATGAACCCTCTTCTTTTCCCATTTTTATATCAGAGTGTTGGATTTTTTCTTTTTGGTTCATAGGAACTCTTTATAAATTAAAGAAACTAGCCCTTCAACTATAAAGTGACTTGCAGATAAATTTCCCCAGTTGGTTTTTTGATGATAGCTTTTCCAAATGTTTAGTTTTTCACTTAGTCAAGTTTAGTCATCTTTTATTTGATGGTTTCTAAATTTTATATCATACTCATAAAGTCCTTCTCCATTTGAAGATTATAAAATTATTTTCTCATTTTATATTCTAACAACTTGATAGTTTTTTTAACATAAAAGATAATTTTTACAAACTGTAAAGTTTAAAGTTTCTAACAGCATGTTTGTTTTTCTAGTATGCAGATAAAACAGGAATTTGGGAGACATTTTAATGCAGCAGGAGTGCTGCTATCCTTGAGTCAGCTCCGACTCACAGCAATTGTATGTACAAAAGAACGAAACACTGCCCAGTCCGGCGCCATCCTCACAATTGTTGCAGCGTTTGACCCACTGTGTCTCAAACACAATGCATCAATCCATCTCATTAAGGTGGGTATCACTTAAGGGCATAATTCCTTTATTAACTATATAGCAAAAAACAACTGTGGATACCTTCTAAGGCATATAAAACTATTATCCCCACATCAGTATAAAAATAGGTTCTACTCTCAAGAAAATAAATTACTATGTAAAACAATTTAGCCCACACATTGCTTGATCTGATACACTGTGATGACAGAATCACTTGTTTAATAAATTAATATCATGCATAAATATTCAAGAATAATGATTAAAAGTTATTTAGAAAACAAAATTTCTATAGATAAAACCACAATGAAAATGTTTTAAGAGTCTCTATTATTTCGACCGTAAAAACACTGCTTCAGTATTAATGGCAAGCATCAAACACATGAAACATATTTTGCTTCAGTTTTTTTTTTTTTAAGTTAAGCAATGACAGAACAATTTAGGCAAAAATCAAGTTCTGTTTTTATAACAATGTAAACATTGTAAGATAATAAAATCTAATAAATATATCCAAATAAGGTATTTTTTCTTATTTTAAAGAATTAAAAACAATCCCTATAATAGCAGGTGACCTCTCTTTTTCTTCCTATGACAGTCCTGTGACATGTCTTCATTGCTACCACAAATCTGCCTCTGCAATTCCAGTATTAAAATAACAGCTAAAGGAGGCATTTTCTGATTGTAACTGAAGCTAAAACTTGGGCAGAGAACCTTTGAGAAACTTTCCTCAGTTTCAGCTGATGCATACATAGACTTGGATTTTCTCACCTGAAATCTAATTTTATGGCCATGACTAATACAGGTATATTTTCAAGGAACATTTTCTAAGTTAAAATTAAATAGTAAAACAATCCAAATGATAGCTTTTACCTGATAAGGGCATGGAATATGGTACTGATGACAATGATCAGAGACCCAAGTTATCTCCCAGGTACTTCTATTCACTTGCTCATAGACATAACATCCGAGAAGCGTCACCAATGGTACAAGATACAGGCCACTGAAGACTCCGATCCGAATCATAAATTTCTTCAGTTTCTCTTGGTTTCGGCCGTCATGTTGTATAACTTGCCGAACGTGATTTAAAGAAATAATTCCGGCTAAGAGAAGAGACAGCCCAACAAACACACAAAGGCACAGCGGCAAGAGCACAAAGTAGCGAGAAGCATCGAGGTCATAAAGGCCAACAAAACAAACTCCGCTGATATTGTCTCCTTCAACTTTGTTCATAGCAAGAAGCATAACGGTCAGAAAACCTGGTATTCCCCATGCCACAGCATGGAACCACACGGCCTTCTGTTCAATGGCTTCACAACTCCATTTCCTTCCTGCAGCCAAGAACCAAGTAATGGTAAGAATCACCCACCACACAGTGCCGGCCATTGTAAAAAAATACAAAAACATAAACAAAATGGTGCAAGCCTTATTCTGAGAGCCCAGAACAACTGTGTCACCAAGTTTCAGCTTCTCATCTGCCTTATTACAGGCTGTACTGTTGTCTAGTAAAAAGCCAATAAAGTACATAAGAGATACAATGCTATAACAGACAGAATAATATATGATTGGTCTCTCTGGGTATCTAAATCTTTTAACATCAATCAGAAAAGTCAGAAATGTGAACAGAGTTGCACAAAGACAGAAAATTGAAACTATTCCAATGAAACTTTTCGCAAACTCCAGCTCATCACTTTTAAAATACATGTTGGGACACGGAGGTGCACATTGGTCAAGGCCTAGAAACTTATAGCCTTGTCCCCCAGAGGTCTTGAGATGCCTTGGACACCAAAAGCCAATGTCTCTTTGGACTTGTTCTGTTTTCTTCTGAGGGCCAACAAACTTTGTGGGTGGATCAAACTTTGTGGGTGCAGAAACAGTCTCATCACAGTATTGTAACCTGTAAAGATTATAAAAATTAAATGCATGACATCAACATTTTTATTAATTCACTATTTTAATACTATGCTTTTCAGCTGTAAAGTATTACCTTATGCATTCATAAATGATGGGAAGACAGACAAACCCAAACAGATTACAGGTTAGAGTTGGCTCAGAAGAGCACATCGTCATGAAAGCAAGGCAGAGAAATCTTTTGGAGGAAAAGTTTGACTATCACAATAAACACAAGAGAAGTATAGTAAGTCACAATGAAAGGGATTAATCTTATTGGCAAGTTACTGGAGGACAGCTTGATCCAGAGCTGAAAAGAAAGCCTGTTTGCCACAAAATTCCTCACACACAAAAGGGTATGCTGACATGCCGAGGATCATAGACTAGGTGTCAAAAAATTAACGAACCTTTCACTAGCCACTCCTTGGAAGGAAGATGTACTTCCGTAGTGATACCACCTCAGAAACCCAAGGAGAGGTTGCTAAGAGTTAGATCCGACTCAACAGCAGGGAGGTTTTTTTTTTTCCCCCTTGGTTTTCACTTACTTCAAAGGCAAAAGTGCTTTTCTGGGTAGCCAAGAGTTTCATGTATGCCATAACCACAGAAATGAATAGTTTCTCAAATAATACTCATACTCATTGCTGTGGAGTTGATTCCAAGTCATAGCAACCCTATAGGACAGAGTAGAACTGCCTTGTAGGGTTTCCAAGGCTGTAATCTTAATGGAAGTAGACTGTCATATCTTTCTCCCACAAAGCGGCTGGTAGGTTTGAACCACCAACCTTTTGGTTAGCAGCCAAGTGCTTAATCACTGTACACCAGAGCTCCTCTCGAATAGTAAGAACAGTTTATGTCTTTTTATTATATAGTTAAATATTAAGTTAAATGTTTCATTATGCTAAAACCTTTAAATAGGCCAGAATTAGAATTCCAATCAGAAGCTTCTTTTTTCATGTTTCCAAAGCAAAGGACACTGTAAAGGCCTAAAAGTTATAGAAATGAAGAAAATAAAATTTCTCTGGTATAGAAAACACCAGAATTATTCTTTGTGCAACTGAGTCAACATTTTACTAAAGAGATACTTGTAATTTTTACTTAACATTAGTGGGATTGAGTCTGAATACAGAGATAATGTGTACAAATGGATTCTACATCCCAGTTCAATGCATCATTCTCAAACATGAAATAAATCTGATTTGGTTTAATTATAAGAAAAAATACTATCCATTTCTCAGAAGATCAAACTATAAAGATCAAAAGGGTGGGAACTACAAATTAGGTGCTAGAGCAAAGTTTTGTGGGTTTTATAACCTCTTCTGCTTTGAAACTGAGTAGGTAATCCCATAAAGAAAGAGTAAGTATCCAGTAAATTGAAGTGTCATTAAGGATAAAATACACATCACAAAATAATAACTATTAAGATTTGGACTCACAAAAATAACTAAACAATGGTTATGTATTCTTTTCCTCCACATGACTTAACACCTTCTAATAGAATTTATTTCATCTCCTCCCTCCCTCCACTAGAATGTAAGCGCCGCAAAAGCAGGAATTTTTGTCTGCTATGTCCTTAGTGTCCAGAACAGCCCTCGAAGACAGCAGGAGTGCACTAAGTATTTGTTGACCGAGTCGCCAATCTTCTCTCCTCTCCTTTTACTGCCACCATCCTTGCTGACTTGACCATCCATACGGACAACCCCCACCCTCCTGGCTTCTCAACTTTTAACCTCCTCACCTCCAACGGCCATCCCTACCCCACTTCAGCCACCTACAACCAGGGTCACACAATGAACCCTACCAACATACTACCTCCAAAAATCACTAACTCAAGAATCCGGCCCTTTGACCACAAGTGCCTATCCTCGTAGCTGGTTTATTAAAAAATTCCCACTGTGACTTTTCTTTTAGTCACACTGGAATCTCCACTACCTTTCTCAAAATATCAATCCTTTCCTGTTTCATTTCATTCCTCATTCACTGAGATGTTCAGTATCTATCATTTTAGTAATTAGTAACATTTAGTAATTCTCAATAGCCTCAACTTTCTTGCTACTCCTTGGACTTTTCATTGCATCCATCTGGGAACATTCCAACCACAGAACTAACTCTGGCTTTCTCTGAACTTGCCCCCAAGCATTCGAGCACTGCTGGAGAGGATCTCCACAGGTCAGATGAGATCCGTTACAAATTCAGGGTCACCCCGTTTACCTAAAACGTTACTGAGTCTCTCCAGTTTACTTACTTTCTCATACTCTATAGTTCCCAGGGCCTTACATTTTGCATCCTTCCTCCCCAGACTCTCATCAGATGACCCTGACTCTTACTACTTCACAATGAAAATAAAAGCATCAGATAGGAATTCTCACAAAATCCTTATCAAACAAGCCTGACCTACATCTATAGATAAATCCATTCTCTTTCCCTCCCCCTCCCAGCCATAGCCAACCCTTTATCTGTGTTTGGGATCCAATCTCCTTCTCAGAACACTGCTACTAATGATTTTCCCTTCTACCCCATACACACCTGCCCCTTCCTTGTAATCTCCTAGCAGCTGGTAAAAGTAGTCAGTTCTTTCCCATTAAGACACCAAAATCTCCCCCACCTTCTTCTGGCTACAACATCCCTCTTCCTCTCTCTTAGAGTCAAATTTTCTGACAGTTATCTTTATATCTTGTTTCATTTCCCACTCATTCCGTTACCCATTGCAATTTGTCCTCTGTTCCCACCACTCTAAAGAAACAGTATTAGCTAAGGTTCTTAATAGGAGCCCTGGTGGGACAACGGTGAAGCACTCTCTGCTAACCAAAGGGCTGGCTGGTGGCAGTGAGTCCACAGGAGGAAAAACCTGGTGATCTGCTCCTGCACAGATTTCAGTCTAGGAAACCCTATGGGGCAGTTCTACGCTGTCACACAGGGTTGCTCTGAGTTGGAACAGACTCCATGGCACCTAACAATGGTCTCACTAACCTGCAGCATCTGACACTTTCTCTGCCTTCAATATCCTCTTCCCTTCTGGACACATATTTCCCATTCTCCCTAGCAGTTCACTTGTAACCACGTGACTGACATTTTACCAACAGGAATGTGAAGGGGAAAGATGTGATATGATCAAGAAAAGGTACCAGTTCTCTAGATTCTTGCTCTCCCACCTACATGGCCACTACGCTGCCAGACGGAAGCATCCTAGATTCTCAAGGTGAACCATCAGAGAGAGCTTGCCCAATCAATGCTCCCCGGGCTGTGACATGAGAACCATGCTTTACACACAGAAGCTATGAGTTGGATCCAACTCAACGGCAGTGAGTTTGTTTTTGTTTGGTTTATCCTGTCCCCCAACGGCTGTCTTCAAGTACTTCAAGGGATTCCCACTGTCCTCAGAATAAAAGCCTGCACTCCAGCCCTGAGTGGCCTGCGACTGCTTTGCCTTCCTTCCTTGTCTTACTCACACTAACACATTCTAGCCACGCTGACTTGTTTTTTAAAAAAACCTATTCTTAACTTTTTACAGTAGTAGTCTCATACAATAATTGTTCTTTTGTGATTGACTACTTTCACTCACCACAATGTCCTCTAGGTTCATCCATGTTATGAAGTGCTTTGCAGAGTCACTGTTATTTTTTCATAGTATTCCATTGTGTCTATGGACCAGCTTATCCATTTTCATCCACTGATGGGCACTTAGGCTGTTTCCATCTTTTTGCTATTGTGAATAATGCTGCTATGAACATGGGTGTTCATATGTCTGTTCGTGTCACAGCTCTTATTTCTCTAGGATATATACCTAGTAGTGGGATTGCTGGACCATGTGGTATTTCTATTTCCAACTTAAGGAAGTACCATACTGCTTTCCACAGTGGTTGTACCATTTTACAATGCCACCAGCAGTGTATAAAGGTTTCAGGCTCTCCACATCCTTGCCAGTAGTTGTGGTTTTCTGTATTTTTGAACTTTGCTATTTATTAATGCTGTGGTGAGATGACAGTTCAGTATTGTTTTGATTTGCATCCCTCCACTGGCTACAGATTTCAAGCATTTCTTCATGTGTGTTTGTCAGCCACCTGCATGTCTTCTGTGGTGAAGTGTCTGTTCATGTCCTCTGCCCATTTTTCAACTGCATTGTCTTTTTTTTTTTGCTGTTGCGGTGAATTTTTTTTTTTCAATAAGTTTTAGAGATTAGTCCCTTATCCTATATATTGCTGCCAAAATTTTTTCCCAGTCTGTAGGTTCTCTTTTTATTACTTTGATGATGTCATTTGATGCGCATAAATGTTTCATCTTTAGGAGATAGCAGTTGTCTAGTTAATCATCTGCTGTTTGTGCATGTTTAGTTATGCTTGACAATGTATTTCTGCCATGCTTTAGGGACCTTAAGTTTGCCCCTATTTTTTTTCGATGGTCTTTATGGTTTTTGGTTTTATGTTTAGGTCTTTGATCTATCCTGAGTTAGTTTTTGTATATGGTGTGAAACATAGGTCTGTTTCATTTTTCTGCAAATGACTGTCCAGTTTTGCCAGCACCATTTGTTAAAGAGACTATCCCTTCCTCCATTTAATGGGTTTTGGCCCTTTGTCAAAGATCAGCTGTCCTTAGCTGGATGGGTACAATATTCTCTGAATATGTCAAGCTCTCTTTTGCCACAGGGCCTCTGCTACTTCCTCTGCCTAAAAAGCTCTTTCCTCCTCTCACTGCCTAGTTACTTCTGTCTTATCCTTTGTACTTTAGGTCAATAGTTATCTCCTCAAGGAAACCCTCCCTTTCCCCCAGTCTAGGTCAAATGTACCATTACATGTTCTCATAGAACCATGCACCTCTCCTTTGTTGTATCTATCAGAGTAGTGATTTTGCATTTATTTGTATAATTATCTGATTACTATCTGTCGCTCCCACCACACTGTAAGTTCCCTGAGAGAAAGAATCATGTCTGTTTTTGCTCACCATTGTGTCCCCAACCCTTATTACCATGGTATCTGGCATATCAGGTATGCAATAAACATCTGTTGAAGCATGCTTGTCACTAGTATTTTGGAGAGCTAACAATATTAAAATACCATCAACAACTTTTAGTCAAAAACATAATTTACCTGTCACATTCAAGTTCCTCAGGCCACTGGATGTCAAAAGTGTCAATTATTTTTTTGCAATCAGAATATACTTTCTCACAAAACTTACGACAAGGTGGAACCACATGAATTTGTTCTGTGCAGCTTGGTACAAAAGTTTGGCAAAGGAAAGTCACAACATCTGGTGAACATTCCAGGTTTGCAAGAGGAAGAAAATGCTACAAAGTAAAACAGCAAGATCAGGTTAGATAATATTTTACAAACAAATGAATGAAGTTAATTCATTTACTGTTTAAAGTATATTTTTCTACTTATACTTCCAAAAGAATCTCTAAATTTCACTTTCTACACAAAGAAATTTTGTGAACATACTTTGTTTAGCCTGTTAGATTTGTGAACGCGTTATCCATTTGGAGTAATATTATTTTGTTTTTCAAGAAGACATGCTAAATCACAAGCATGATTTACTTGCTGGGTGAAATCAATTATTCAAATATTCAATTTACAAGCATATGGTGCAATACTTTAGTGCTGGACTAAGCATTCTGGAAGATAAAGGAATGTTTGGGCAGAGGGAACAGCATGAAAAAGGCACAGTGGCTGTGAGAACACAGTGCATTCAGGGCAAGAAGTTCAGAGGTCAAAGAGGTGGAGTTAGGCACACAGTAGAGAGATGAGACTGGAAAGGAAAGCAGGACATGGTCATAAAGAGTATGACTGACATGCTAAACTGCTTGGATTTTATCATGAAGGAATGAGATACTATTGGAGTCTTAAGGAGGAAGTGAGTTCAAAGTTTGACAGCTTTAGTTTGAATCCCAGCTCCACGCTTACTAGTTGTATAACTTTTGGGGCAAGTTATTTAACTTCTCTGTACCTTAGCTTAGGCTCTCTGGTAGTGTAGTGCCTAAGGCATTTGACCGCTAACCAGAAGGCTGGAGGTTCAAACCCACTAGCTACTCTTTGGAAGGAAGATTGGGCAATCTACTTCCACAGAGATACCGCCTCAGAAACCCAAGGAGGGTCTCTATGAGTCAAAATCAACTCAACAGCAGTGAGTTTGAATTTTTTGGTGCCTTAGCTTCTTCATCTAAAATGGGAATAACAAGTCTTTCCTTTGTAAGACTGTTGTGAAGACTGAGTTAATAAACATAAAGCACTTAGAACAGTGTGTAGCACACAGTAAGTACCCAATATATCTTAGTTATTGTGATCATTATACTTCAGAGAGTTCTGATAAATCCTGGGTAAACATGGTAGACTGTCCACATATGTTTATCTCCTTCCTCTGCCTCTTACTTGGACAATAAGGAAATAGAAAGGTATTAATCCATTAGGATAAAGTGAACAGGAGAGACAACATTAGGTTAAGGAACAGATTTGGAAGTCATCAGTCCAAAACTGATAACTGAAACAAGCAAATGAAAATATCTGTGGAGAACATGTAGAGCAAGAACGAATGAGAATTCTGATTCAAAGGGAACTCACTGAACCTACATGTTAACATCCCTCCTTTCCAAACACCATTGAAATTAGAGAAAGTGTATAAAAGTAAAAAATGAAACCCACAGCTGTACACACACAACAACAACAAAAAGAGGGGGGTTATCTGAGAAACTCCTGAAAGATAAAAAGAAAGGATGAGGACTTCTGCTTTCAGTAGAATGGCCAATTAAATAAATAGTACACAATGGTCTCCTGCCACAGGACCATTCAGATTCTGGATAAATTCTAACAAATACACTTTAAAATGCATTGCTGAGCACTGTGTATACCTAATATTAAGATACATAAAGCAAAAAGTGACAAAATGACAAGGAGAAATGGACAATTCCATGGTCATAATGAGAAGTTTCAACACATCTTCTTAGTAAATGACAGGTCAAAAGCAGACAAAAATTTAGTAAGTAAATATGAGATTTGACTGGGACACTACAATTAACAAGTCTGATTTAAAGGGAACCCCACACCCAACTATTAGAGGACTACAGCTTTGGAGGATGTGGGAGCAGTGGAGGGTGCAGGCTGTCCTGATGGGGAAGAGCAAGGCGACTGAGCAGAGGCAGGGTGGAGGCAGTAGGCACACATCTCTCTGATATGAATGATGCTCTGGAACCTGACCTATGCCCCCTAACAAGAACTTGTTGGAAAGCAAACAATACAGTGCTTTCCTCTATTTCTTCTACCCCAAGGGGGAGAGCGTCCTCTTTTGAGTCTGATGTAAGAAAATGGGAGCATGAGCAGGTGGTGCAATGATTAAGTGCTTGGCTGCTAATTTGAAAGGTCGGTGGTATGACGTCACCAGTGGTCCCACAGGAGAAAGACCTGGCGCTCTGCTTCCATAAGGACTACAGCCTAGGAAACCCCACGGGGCAGTTCTACACTGTCCTATGGGGTCACTATGAGTCAGAATTGACTCGACAGCACACAACACCTTTTTAGCTTACTATTCCAAATAAGCCTAGTTTCCAAATGTTTTGAGTATCTGGTAATCAGAGTCTGCTGGAGAAAATTAAAACAAACTGTTTAATTGCTCTAACTCAGAAGCCACTCTGTAACAGTCATGATAGCACTGAAGAACTATTATTGTCCCATGCAATGGCAGGCAAAATTAAAGTAACACATGTTATTTTGCTATAGTAAGAAAATGTTTTTAAAGGGTAAACGTAGGGAGTCATTCCCTTTCTTTAAGGATTGGCTAATCCAACTATGTTGACATTCATGCAATTTGCAGAATATGAGTCTAATGCCTTCCGAGGCAGGCAGGTAAATTCAAAAGTGTATAAGACAATAAAGAGTGGTTGGAAAGCAGTTGCTACTCAAGTCCAACAGACTGTCATTCAGGAATGTGGACACAGAACTGTCAGTTATTTCAATTTTTCAAAAGAAAATAGAATCTGGATTTTTATGTGAAATCTCCCAAATTTTAAATTTTGGCAAGTTAATTTAAATATCTAAAACAAATATGTCTTCAGCTCAGATCCAGGGTGGGCCAACAATTTTCAAGTTCTGTTGCAGACTCTATGAACAAACTTAAAGAATTTTAGATTTGGAAGGGATCTAAGAGAACCTTTAAGTCAATTAATTTCAAAGTGTGTATGTATGTTGTCAGAAGGGACCAGTCCCTGGAGAAGGATATCAGCTTGGTAAAGCAGAGGGCCAGCAAGAAAGGGGAAGACCCTCAGTGAGACACAGAGATCAACACAGTGGCTACAATGATGGCTCCAGCAGAACTACGACTGTGAGGATGGTGCACAACAGGGCAGTGTTCCGCTCTGTTGTCATAGGGTTGCTATGAGTTGGAGCTGACCTGATGGCACCTAACAACAATGTAAGTTAGGCACTGTACTTCTCAAGTATTTTTACAACAACTTGTGAGACGGATGTTCATATTTCCACCTCGCAGACAAGGAAACTGAAGATCTGCAAGATTAAGCATCTTGTACAGAGCTGCTGCTAGTAAGTGGCAGAAACAAAAGATGCACCTGGGTCACTATGTAGCATTCCAGATATGGCTTCCTTAACCCTTCCACTATTCTTTCATCAACTCTCCCTGAAAACTACCCTTCCCCAAGGCACCATGACAGGCAAAAAGGCTACAAGGATGAAGAGAAGGAAAGAAAGATATCAAAAGAGAACTGAGAATATTCTACATGAAAGAAATCTTTCAGTCTGAAAAAAGGAAGTGTTCACAAGGCACATAATCAATGACTATCATATCACTCAAGCTTTGCTTATCACATTCCCAACCTCTTGAAGCAGGTAGTTTGGGAACACATAATACACAATAGGTAGTCAGGCTGTTATTGAACTCATTATCCCAATTGCTTAAAATGATTCTTCCTTGAAGAATATCAAACCCCTGCCACCCAGTCAATTCTGACTCACAGTGATCCACAGGGTTTCCAGGGCTGTAAATCTATCTTCCTCCCACAGAGTAGCTGGTGGGTTTGAACCACCAACCTTCTGGTTAGTAGCCAAATGCCTTAACCACTGCACCACCAGAGCTCCTTATAGCTACCGCTATTTTCTGATATTCTTCCCTGAATGAAAATAGCCTAATCACACTAAACATTTTCTTTCCTTATCCAGAAAGTAGGGAGGAAAGGTGGTAGTAGGAAGAGGTCCACTGGATTCCTCTAAAAGCAGAAAAATGAAAATGTTTAAAACTCATTGCTCAAGAGAAAATAAAAGTTTTTCTTAAAAGTTTGCTTATCCAATTTGTCTCTATCCTTTTATTTTTAAATGAACAGAGATATTTTAGGAGTGCATATTAACAGGTGGAAAGGAAAGGTTTTCTTTTCTTTTCTTTTTTTTTTTTTTTGGCTCCCTTCCCTTTAGACTGTTTAAAAGTGGAATGACCACATGCTGTTCCAAACAATACACGGCTTGGTTTTTGCCTAGACCTCAATAAAGGCAATTCAAAAAGAAAATACAATATTCCTGTTTCCATTTTCCCTAGATCAGTTTCAGTATTTACTGGATAAAATCAGTCTCTCAAGGGAAGCTAACTTCACAATTTGAGAAACAATGTCCTAGATATGAAACAAAGAGGAACACAATAGAAACCAGCAGCCATTTGTTTTTCCACTTGGGAGAGCTCTACTAGACAACATCCTTTTCATTACAGAGCTAAGTTGCTATTCAGAATCACAAATTAACTCTTTATCATACAAATACCTTCAGTTCAGAAAATACAAAGCAAAAACTGAAGTCCCTTATTTCAAGCACTTTCTGAAACAAAATTACAGTTAAGCTAAACTAAAGAACTAGGATATCTCAGCCAGTCTTTCGGTTTGTGATAAAGAAACTGGACTTTGAAAAAAATCTATGTGAAAAATAAACGACATGTGCCTCAAGTAACATATTTATGAGAATATACAATAACATTTATTATTTATTAGGTCTTAGGAGCTCTGGTAGCATAGTGCCTAAGGCACTTGATTGCTAACCAGAAGGCTGGCGGTTCAAACCCACCAGCCACTCCTCAGAAGGAAGGTTGGGCAATCTACTTTGGTAGTGATACCGCCTTGGAAACCCAAGGAGGGGTCACTATGAGTCGGGGCCGACTCTAGGGCACATAACAACAACAACATATCATTCTTAAGAACACTTTCAAGTATTTCAAACCAATGGTTGGCAAACTACACTCCATGGGCTAACTTCAGCCCAGTGCCTGTCCTGTTAATAAAGTTTTATTGAAACACAGCCAGTCTCATTCATTTGCATAGTGTCTCACGCTACTTTCCTGCAGAATTGAATAGCTATGACAGGGACTGTACAGCCTGCAAAGCCAAAAATATTTAATGTTTGATTCATTACAGAAAAAGTTTGCCAAACCCTGCTCTAAACAATAACAACAAAAAAACTAACTCACTGCCATCAAGTCATTCCAACTCACAGTGAGCCCCACTGGGTTTCTGAGGCAATCTCTACAGAAGTAGATTGCCCAGTCTTCCTTCTACAGAGTGGCTGGTGGGTTTGAACCACCAACCTTCTGGTCAGCAGTCAAACGCCTTAGGCACTAGGGCACCAGAACTCCTTCTGCTCTAAACTAGTGGGTCACAAACTTCAGTGTTCGTAAGAAACACCTGGGTCATTTGTCAGTAACTATAGTTTCTCAGACCCTCTCAAAAGAGAGCATGTCTAGTAGGTTGGGGTGGGGCCCATGAACTTGCTTTTCTAATAAGCTCACTAGCTACTAGTCTATGAACTAAACTTTGAGAACCACTGCTCTAAACCATTTCATACAATCGCAGATAAACAATGCCCACAAATGCCTAAATTCTATAAAACAGACTTATCTTCCTACGAAATGAAAACTGAGGCATAAAAGAGGAGAAAGATAGAACTCTTGACTTATATTGAATTCTTAAAAGTACAACTGAATGCTGTTATCATCAGATAATTCCTTCAGCCCCTCACCCTAACATCAATTCACAGTGGAAATTCAATTTGGGTCAGGAGGAACCAAAGGCAGTTGGTTTGGAGGTGTAAAGTCCAATTTGTTCTTAGAGAAGGCATAAAGCACATTTTTAGTAAAAGTCAAATTACATGCACCTATAATTTAGTACTTGACTGGACTATATATTTCTGACATACATAGTTTCTTATTCCATGTGGTCTAATAAAAATTCCATATAAATAAATGTTTTAAAATCAAATTCTTTAAATAAATTCTGAGAAACATTTAGAGCTCATACAGGAAAGTAGATGGAGGACGTCAACTGATATATTTTATTAGAACCAGGCTTGAGCAGAACAAAAAAACAGATATTATGTAAACTACCTAAAAATGTTAGAATGTATGACTTTCACATGGATAGCACAGAACACAGAGACAGAAGGTGAAGATTTGGAGGGCAAATTTTCTTTGTTGATTTGTTAGGACAGAGCTACCACCTTTTTCTTTATTCGGTCTTTATGAAACATCTATAATGCTTGAAGGTACTACACTAAGCATTAGGGTTAGAGGTGAATAAGCACCATTCCTGCTCTGAGTTCACAATCTAGTGAGAAATGTAACTGCAACACAGCCGGTAAGGCAACAAACAGTCATATCCCAAGTACTATAATAGTATACATATGAGTCCCTGGCTGGCACCGAAGGTTTGTGCTCAACTATTAACTGGAAGTCTGGAGGTTCGAATCCACCCAGTGGCACTGTGAAAGAAAGGCCTGGCAATCTGTTTCTGTAAACATTACAGCCTAGGAAAGCCTACGGAGCAGTTCTACTCTGTGACACACAGAGTCAGGATCTACTTGACAGCAATGGGTAGTTGGGTATGAGTATACAGTATATAGGAAAGCAATGATTAACTATGCTTGGGAGACAGGTGGAAGGCTTCATGAAGGACAAGACTGCTTTAAGTGAGGACTGCAGGAACTGAACAGATGAAGATAAGCACGCCCAGGCAGAAAGTGTAACCGTGCAAAGGTGTGGAGGTGTGAGAGAGGGATGGCTCTGCGTGCTGTAAGTACATCAGTGTGCCAAGGCAGAGTGGACCAGGCAGGAAGGGGAAAGGTGGGAGGCTGGCCAGGACAGCAGGATCCCACAGGAAGAGCCTTGGGTGCCACACTAGAGTCAGGTCTTTATTTTTCAAGCTTTAGGAAACTGGTAGGGAATTCTAACCCCGAGTGCATTATATGTTTTTTTGCCTACCGTGCCCTCCCAGTGGGTGTGGTTGGTAAAAAAAGTTAACATGTGAGTTATTTGCCTAAAAATACAGAATATAAAGAGAATGGTAATCTTAGCAGTCAAGAAGGTAAGAACAGAAATGCTTCTTGATAATGTCCAGACATAAAACTACCTGGAAAGAAGCTAAGTGACCTGTGTGTGTGTGTGTGTGTATATAAAAAAAAAACATATATTATTGCATATAATATATGTGTGTGTACCTCAAATAAATAAATTACATATATATATGGGGAGAAAGAGAAAGTGAAAGAGAGATAGAAACAATTGTTTTTTAAAAGACATGTGTGGAACAAAAACTAGTTCTAACCATCTTACAATAATAGGCATTTAACAGCAGAGATGCATGTCTCTCCTACCTTTATAATGGTACTCTATGATAAGAAACTTAGGCTAAATGAGCTGAATTTATAAGGCCACTGTTAACATTCAAACTGAAATTATGTATAGCTACTACACAAAAAGTAGATTAAGGGAAAAATCAAAACATGTTTTTAAAAACACTGTAAGACATGAATTATAAAGCATGTATTATTATCACCAAAGAAAATGTGAATAATTATTCCCTGAAGGTATTCCCACTACGTACTTTGATCACATTCAAATATCAAAATGGTTACTGACTAATCAATAAAATTTAACTGTATCATCTGTTCACTGTTCAAAATGACAGCTTGCATTGCTTTGAAAAACCACCAAAAGATTTGTTGTTGTTGTTGTTTGCCTGGACTGTATTCTGACTCACAGCAACCTTTTGAGTCAGAGTAGAACTGCTCCACAGGGTTTGCCAGGCTGTAATCTTTATCAGAAGAGCTCTGGTGGCATAGTGGTTAAAGCATTTGGCTGCTGACCAAGTGGTCCGGGGTTGGAAAGATGAGGGAAAGAGGAGGCAGTCTGCTTATGTAAATATTCAGAGCCTTGGAAACCCTATAGGGAAGTTCTACTCTGACCTAAAAGGTCACCATGAGTCCAAATCTCCTCAATGGCAGTGAGGTTTGGAATCTTTACAGGAGCAGACGGCCACATCTTTCTCCCTCAGAGTGGCTGGTGGGTTCACACAGCAGACATGTCAGTTAGCAGCTGAGGGCTTAACCACTAGTTAACCACCAGGACTCCTAAAACCAAAGATCACCATATAATTTGTACTGTCCTTTAAAAGTATTTCCTTAGTCTTTACAGGCCTTCCAACTCTATATACAAGTCAACAGTGAAGCGTCAGACAACTATACAAATGAACAATGGAAGACTTTCAAAGCTGCAAAACCAAAAGGAGTCAGTTCTTAAAGTACTGTTTTTACTACATTTTAAGGCATTTCATCTCTTATAAACCATCTGAAGAAAAGCCTTTATTACGCTTGGATAGCTATTCTGAAGAAAACTACAACAACACATTTGTCTCCTTCCCTTTGCTGCACTTCTCAGCCTTACAGATCCGTAGGGGAGGGCAGGCTCCTGTCTCTACAAGTAGCTCTTTCTTCCCACACCTCCACAGCATCTGCATATCTCTCCACCTGAGCAGGTAACTGAGGCTCCTAAGGCAATATTTAGTGTTGCTTGCTCCTCCCTGGGCACACATTTGTCTCTTTTAACAAGTATCTTGCAAAGAACACTTAAGTACTATGTTCACAAAAGAAAGTCACTTTTTAGCAAGACTCTCTCCAGCCCCCAAATCTCCCAGTCATTGCTTCAGGAAAGCCAACTGAACATTACAATTACTTATGAGAAAATATGTTTCTTCACTTTTAGTCAAAGCAACATAAACTATATGTTCAATGAATTACAAAAAAAATCAGAATTTGCATTTTTTGGGGAACACCCATAATAGATTAAAGACAACAAAAATTTTGCTAGGAGCAAGATATTTCAAAATCATTCATAACTACTCTTCTTTATACAGTGAGCCCTATCTTAAGTAGGGTCCCCAAATGTACACAAAATGGAAGTTAGAGGATTTCTTTTCAAAAGGATTTATTCAAACTATGATTTATATACAACTTAAAGGAATGTCTTCGTATATTTAAAAAATAAAATAAAATTTTAAAAAGTCCTATCCATAGTTTGGGAGCTCTGGTAGCATAGTGGCTAAGACACTTGCCTGCTAACCAGACGGCTGGCGGTTCAAACCCACCAGCCACTCCTCGGAAGGAAGGTTGGGCAATCCTACTTCCGTAGTGATACTGCCTCGGAAACCCAAGGAGGGGTCGCTATGAGTCGGGGCCGACTCGACGGCACATAACAACAACAACAACAATCCATAGTTTATTGCAGAACAGAGTATAAGAACTACTCACCTGTTGAACATTTACCTCAAGTGGACACATGCCCTTGAGAGAACAATCATGGGAGAAGGAAGGGTACCTTATGCACGGGGAGACAGCTTAGGGGGCAGGAGAGTATGGAGGGATGGACACTGGGAAGTGGTACCTTGGGGAGGAAATTGGAGGGGAGCTGTTGCATTGTGGTAAATTGTGGTCAATGACATGAGACAAAGTATATGTGAACTGCTGTATCGAGAGTGAATTTGCTCTGTAAATCTTCACCCAAATCTAAATAAAATAAAATTAAAAAAAACAAACAAACAAAAAAAGAACTACTCACCTCCATTTCCTTAGCAGCAGTACCCTGGTCATAATGACCCATCAGATTAGGGAAAAATGTCATATTGTAGGCCATTTTCATACACCTGGGAACAGTAACTGGCTCACAGGTGAAGAGGCTGTGCCCTCTTATGACGGGCAGACAGATAAATGTCAACAAAAATGTAAACATTTCCATTTTCTTCAAATTCCAGACTTTACCACATGGCCCAGATTAATGGCTCTTTTCATCCTCAGAAGACTGCCAAATTAAAAATGTTCAGATTCCTCATTTCACTATTTTACCATTTTGAAGGAAGCTCTTTTCCCAAAAATGAGCTCTGGATCAATTACTGTAAAAACCACCAAGAGGGTGTATCAGTAACATTTGTCAAAAACTCCAATATGGACATCAGAGAGCAGAGATAGGATTTTCACCCTAGGTAACTAACACTAGAAAACCATGGAAAATTCCATCCTACCCAGCGACTCCACCACCTGCTTTGGCATAGAATGTACAGAATTTGCTGAAGAAGTCCTGTCTCTATGGGGGTTTGTTCTGTGCTTTATATTACAGAACACAGTGTGAAAAGGGGGCATAAAATGAGTGAGAGGGAGGAAAAGGAATGCGGAGCCCTACTGGAAATCACACTAAGCACGAGAAACTGAGGCCCAGGGAAATGTCTTAAGCCCTAAGGAATTCTTTAAAGACTCTAAACAGCCAGTTTTGATGGCCATTGTCCGGGGATACACATTTCCTGTTTTTCAAAAGGACAATCAGAGGGAGACTTCTAAGGTTCCTTCTGCAGAACAGAAAAGGTAGTTTTCACTGGCTCCGGTGTAGTGATCCCGCCGAAAGGGAGAATGAGAAACTTGTCCCAGGAGAGTGACGGGGGTCCTCTGGGGTAGGAACGTGGTGGGCCCCGAAGTACGAACACCTCCCACCAACACACACACACCCACACGCACGCACCCACCCAGACCCAGCCTTCCGGGGAGGGTGACCAGCCCCACACCTGGGCACCTGCATGGGCCCAAACCTGTGACCCCGCCACAGTTAGGAATAGTCCGAGATCACCTTGCAAAGAGCTAGCTCCAACTTGGGAGCCAACTCCGGCAAGTGCTCACTGTCCCGCCGCCACCTCCCTGGCACCTGCGGCTCTGGCGCGCGGCCACCCCAGCTCGGACGTGGCCCGCAGCCCGCCTGCAGGCAGTTAACCCCCTGGCCTCCGGCTCCCACCCCGCACTACCCCGGGCCCGGTCCACCCAACGCATGCCCGGCTACCGCCTCCTGTACGGTAGGGGCCGGAGGAGCCTCACCTCGGGCGGCGGTCGAAGGCCGTTCTCCTTTCCCCACCCCGTCCAGCCCACAGTTCCCCAGTGGCCTCAGACGGCTCCGGGGAGTGTCCGGGACCAGAGGCGGCGCCGGAGCCACACGAGGCGCGAGAGCTGAGCGATCCCGCGAGACTGCGACGACAGGGCGGCCGGGCAGGTTCGGGCTTGCGGCGGCGGCGGCGACGGCCGGACTTGCCTTCCACCCAGGCCCCGCCTGCGCTGCGCCTGGGGACGGGGGACTGGAGTGCATGCTGTCGGGGGTGCAGGGGTCCGGCTGTGGGACACAGACGTCCTTTTCACCTTGCTGTTTCGTATGGTTCCTGAACCACAGAGCTGCATCCTACCTCGCCATGCGGGTCCAGGGCGTTTAGCCTAGTAAGAATTTTAGAGGATCTTGGTGAGCCTCAAAATAAAGAGTTGTTTAAAAGAGCCCACTTCATTTCGGTTTTCAGGAGCCGGAACTCTTAATCAGGGCTGATTGCTCTGTATTGTCATTTGCCCAAGTGAACCTGAGTTGGAAAGTGGAGGTAGACTTACCTTCCTGGGTAACTGTCCTCAAAAGCCCTTTTATTAAAATTTGGGCTATCTTACAGAAGCCCTGGTGGCGCAATGGTTAAGCACTCGGCTGCTAACCGAAAGGTCGTCGTTCGAGCCCACAAGCCACTCGGTCAGAGAAAAACGAGGCAATCTGCTTCCGTAAAGATTACAGCCCTAGACTATGGCACGGTTTTACTCTGCCTGTAGGGATGTATGAATCGCCTTACAGCAATGGATTTGGGTTTTGGTTTGATCACTAACTTGAAGTGGCAGTGGGATTTCACCCCAGACAAGCCCTACAGTTTTATTTATGCAGAGTCATAGTAGAAAGTTGAACTGCTTTAGAAATCACCCTAGATTTTAGTACCAGTTCTGCTACACATCATCTCAGATAAATTACTTCATCTTTCAGTGTGTTAGTTTCTTCACAGTAATAGAAATGATGATAGTAAATGACAGTTAACTTTTCTTGAGCACTGGCTGTAAATGAGGTTGATGCCAAGTGCTTCACATGCTCTTACATCCAAGCTACATTCATATCTGGTCTTTACATGCTTTTCTATCCAACCACCTAGGAGGTAGACAGAATTGTGTGAAGCAAATAAACATGTGGAAGCACTTGGGAAAAGGCAAAATGACTTTTAAATGGAGGCTATTCTTCTTATCAAGAAGCTTTGGTGTCCAAGTGGTTTGCAATTGGTTGCTAACCTAAAGGTTATTAGTTCAAACCCACCCACTGACTCTGCAGAAAAAAGGCCTGGGGAACTGCTTCCATACAGTTTATAGCCAAGAAAACCTTATGGAGCAGTTCCGCTCTACAGTTAAGATACATGGAGTCACCATGAGATGGGGCCAACTTCACAGTGGTTAACAAAAACAATTCCTCATATCAAGGACTCCTGGGCCATGAAAGAGTTAAGTGTTCAACTACTAACCTAAATGTAGGCTGTTCAAACAAATACAGAGGTGGCTAGAAAGAAAAAAGGCCTGGCAATCAGTTTCTGAAAGGTCACATCCTTCAAAACTCTATTGTTGTTGTGTTGTTAGGTGCCGTCAGGTCGGTTCCAACTCACAGTGACCCTACGTGCAACAGAATGAGACACTGCTCAGTCCTGTTCCAGCCTCACAATTCCTGCAATACCTGAACCCATCGTTACAGCCATTGTTGTCAATTCACCTCACTGAGCGCCTTCCCCTTTTTCATTGACCCTCCACTTTACCAAGCATGATATCCTTCTCCAGGGAATGGTCCCTTCTGATGACACGATCAAAGTAGGTGAGACAAAGTCTGGCCATTCTTGCTTCTAAGGAGCATTCTGGCTGCACTTGTTCTAGGACAGATTTATTAGTTTTTCTGCCAGTCCATGGTTCTTTCAGTATTCTTCACCAACACCACAACTCAAAAGCATCAACTCGTCTTCCGGCTTCCTTATTCATTGTCCAGCTTTCACATGCATAGGAGGCAATTGAAAATACCATGGCTTGGGTTAGGCATACCTTCGTCCTCAAAGAGGCATCTTTGCGCTTCAGCACTTTAAAGAAGTCTTTAGCAGCAGATTTGCCCAGTGCTTGACTGCTGCTTCCATTGTTGTTGATTGTGGAATCAAGTAATATGAAATCTTTGATAACTTCAATCTTCTCTCCATTTATTGTGATGCTGCTTATTGCTCTGTTTGTGAGGATTTTCGTTTTATGCTGAGGTATAATCCATACTGTAGACTATATATAGTCTTTAATGTTCATCAATAATGGCTTCAAGTTATCCTCACTTTCAGGGATCATATTGCAAGTTGTCGATGAGTCTTCCTCCAGTCCTGATCCTATTTTCTTCTTCATATAATCCAGCTTCTGGGATTATTTGCTCAGCATACAGATTGAATAAGTGTGGTGAAAGGTTACAACCCTGACACACTCCCTTCCTGACTTCAAACCATGCAGTGTCCCCTTGTTCCATTCAAATGACAGCCTCCTGGTCTATGTACAGATTCCTCATAAGCACAATTAAGTGTTCTGAAATTCCCATTCTTCTCAATGTTACCCATAATTTCTTACAATCGACACAGTCTAAGGCTTTTGCATAGTCAATAAAACACAAGTAAACATCTTTCTAGTATTGTTTACTTCTTTTGAAAACTCTATAGAGCAGTTCTATTCTGAAAACCCGTGGGGTTGCCTTGAGTTAGAATCTTCTCCACACAACTGTTAAATCACCACACTACAGAAAACAAATGTCAGACAACAATACTCAGGACAAAGATACCACTAAATAGCCAGAGTTATTTTTTTAGTAACCTGCAAAACATCAAAATGGGGAAAGGCTTGAATTTGGGCAGGAAAATTCCTCCCCAGTTTTATCAAATGCTGAAGACTCATATTCGGAAGGAATAAGGGATGAAGAAATACTGACATCATTAAGAGCTGGATCATTCACATATCATAGAATCTAAGTTTCTATGTAGGAAGAATATTTCTTCCCAATTCTTACAAACTTAATGAATCCATTAAATGATACTTTTGCATTCAAATGATCACATGTTATGAAGTTTGAAGAAAAAGGTGCTATAAGCTGATTTATACCGAAAAAAAAGCTTTTACCTTGAATTTCATTTAATTACATGTTGTTGTTATTATGTGGCGTCGAGTCAGCCCCGACTCATAGCGACCCCTCCTTGGGTTTCTGAGGCAGTATCACTACGGAAGTAGATTGCTCCATCTTCCTTCTGAGGAGTGGCTGGTGGGTTTGAACCACCAGCCTTCTGGTTAACAGTCAAGTGCTTTAGGCACTATGCTAATTACATAGTAAGCAATAATGAGCAAGAGTGATTTTTGTACCCTGATGAAGAAAGGCAAAGAAACAGTTACAATACAGCATAATAAATACTATGACAGAGGTACCGAAACGAATTCCGTTGCTCTCAACTTGATTCTGACTCTCAGTGACCCTTTAGGGTAGAGTAAAATTGCTCCATAGGGTTTCCAGGATTACAGAAGCAGACTGCCACATCTTTCTCCTGCAGAGTGACTGGTGGGTTCAAACCTTTATCTGTAAACGCTGTGAAAACATGGATTGTGGAGGGTGGCAGAGAGGTGGCATATAACCTAGTTTGTTGCCAGTTGGGAGTATTAGACTCTGGGAAGATTCAAGGTAGGGCCTACCAGAAGAGGCAATACTGGACTTGAATACTAACAGATGATGAGTGAAGGAGATGATAGGTGATGAAAGAGAGGGAGGAGGGAAGACATTCAAACAGAAGGGAGAGTAGATACAGTGAGGTCATGTTTGAAAACTCCTGCTCTAAAACAGGATTCTTAAATAGAATCATACACTCCGTAGCCTTTTGTGTCTGGCTTATTTCATTTAACATGTTTTCAAGGTTCATCATGTCATAGCATTCCTGGTTATGCCTGAATAATATTCCATCAGTTGATGGACATTTGGATTGTTTCCACTTTTTGTTATGAAGGACAGTGCTGCTGTAAATTCATGTACAACTTTTTATGGGACATATACTTTCAATTTTCTTGAGTATATATGTAAGGGCAATCTACTTCTGTAGTGATACTGCCTTAGAAACCCAAGGAGGGTAGCATAGTAGCTAAGACACTTGCCTGCTAACCAGACGGCTGGCAGTTCAAACCCACCAGCCACTCCTCAGAAGGAAGGTTGGGCAATCCTACTTCCATAGTGATACTGCCTCGGAAACCCAAGGAGGGGTCGCTATGAGTCGGGCTTGACTCGACGGCACATAACAACAACATCATCAGGTTAAGAAATTTCCCTTCTATTCCTACTTTATTGAGTTATGTAATCTGATGTTATTGCTGATAGAACATTGATTATATGAAATTCTGAATTATAATAACATGATTAAATGATTTTGCTGAAAAGAAGGGAAGAAAAATATTTTTTAAGGAGTGAATATACCACTTGTGAATTCTGTAAATTTTTATTTTATTACTTAACCAAATATCTCCAGCCCATCATCAGACTCTGCAGAACATGCGATACTAAGTTTCATCTTTGAAATTTTTCCTACTCTCATTAAAATATAGCTTTACACATTAAAAATTTTTTCTTTATGAAAGTCTGGTTTTCAAGGTAAGAGGAGAGAATGTATTTTATTTAACAGTTATAGTTAGCTTGATTTATAACTTATGGCTATTTTTACACATATGATATAGTGCTATCTAAGGATCACTGGTAGCACAATGGTTAAAGCACTCGGCTCCTAATCAGATGGTTGGCTATAGAACTCATAAGGAGCTTCATAGGAGAAAAGACGTGGCTATCTACTCCCATAAAGATTACAGCCTAGAAAACCCTATGGAACAGTTGTATTCTAGTTGGACTAGAAGTCTAGTTCACAGCAACTAACAACAAGGTGGGCATAGGTGGCTGCCTATGTCATGAAATATGTGATGGCAGGGTCAGGGTTCATCTTAGGGACTAGCTGTCTTCCCTTCAAAGGTCTAAGATGCCTGGAACATGGGCTTCTCCCTGTAAAGATTACAGACTTGGAAACCCTATGG